CCAGGAATAAAGCTCTTACAACAAACCAGATGCCGTACCCTTTAATAATTTTACAGGATTAAAAAACACACCCCCCCCCGTTTTGCACGTTGGTCAAGGAGATGTTACAAAATGCCTTTTGCCTCTTTCGGTTTGACGGGCTGAACACGCTGAAATAGCGATTTCTACAAATAAAAACATCGCATCCTTGTCAGTGCCTGCTGGATATTCCCATACCCACCAGAGGAAGGTGTAGAGTGCAGCCTACTATAGGCTTACTACCGCGTACAGATAGACAGAAGCGTTCGTGGGAGCGGGGCGGGACGGCAACCGTGGAGCCGCCACGCGTCCCCGTCGGCACCGAGAGGCCCGCTGCAACGTCCCCGCTCAGTCAGCGGTCACCTGCGTGGCTTGGCCGTCGGAGGTCTGGTTGGTGGACTGGATGAACATGGGCTGGGCGATGTCCTGGCCCGCTGGCATGGTCACTTGCTGGATCTGGTAAAGCTGCTGGGTAGGGAGAGAGCAGGGAAGGAACGGAGCATCAGTGCTCGTCACGCCCGGCTCCCCACGCTGTGCTCGGGAATATGTCACCCTAGAAAAGCTCAGTGGGGGCGTTACAGCAGCTCGCAGCGCCAAATGAAGTCTGTCCCCAAAACAGACCACAGAGCGCCCTATATTAGTCCCCAAATCGTAACGAAGTAACTCGGCGCGTTTCCAATGCTCAGGTGACCGACAGAACAGGGGGTGGCTAGATGGCGAGGCCTCAGTTCCTAACGGGACAGGACTAAACGGGACCCCGGGCAGAGCGCGAGGGACTGGGTTAACTGGGAGCGAACACCCAAACAAGCGGATCAACATCCGCTTGTCCTGCTCCTGGCCAAGGTCGGGGGGAGTGTTTTACAAGGAGATCAGCCAGCACCCAGGCTTTAGGAGGGTCTCTCTACCCGTCTGGCCTCACTGGGACGCAGCCGCGAGCTCCGAGTTCTTACCTGCCCGTCTGTGAACTGGCTGAACTGCTGCTGGCCCTGCTGGACTTCCGTCTGCGTTATCTGCAAGGACAGGAGAAGGGCGATCACCGAGCGCCGTGGGGAGGGTCGGAACCCCGCTAACAACAGGCTGCTGCTGCCTTTTAACAGCTTCTGGACTCTCAAACCCCCCCGCCTGCTAAGACTCGGCTGGTCCCCCCGGCCAGCAGCCAGGCGGGTGCTAGCCACGAGTCCGGAGCGCAGGACACGGGGTCCAGCCGTTCCAAACCCAACACAAGCACGTCCCCACTGACTTTCCAGAGGAGAAGGCGGCCTGCGGGATCACAGGAAAGCAGCAGCCTTGCTACCCTCCGACGGCAGAGAAGAATCCCGTAGCGACCGGTCTCGACACAAACACGAGGCAGTGCTGGTCCCGACGTTTCAGAGGTGGCACGGCTGCTCCTCCCTCACCCAGCCAGGAGGAGCGGGAGTGAAGAGAAGGTGGATGAGGTTTCACCCGCCGCCAGCTCAGAAGCAGCACGAGCTTTGTACAGCGACACACACACACGCACGCACACGCATGCACCTTCCACGTACGGGTGAAGGAGGCTTCCGCTACGCTCCTCGCTTTATCATCCCGAAGTAAGTAACAGGAAGAAAAGAAACGCAGGAATCCTAGCCCAAGAGTTGGTAAATTCAACCGGAATTCGCCGTTTCAGGAGCTAGGGAACACCGCTTTACCGGCTGGGGTCAGGCCTGCTGTCGAGGTGCCTACCTGCTGAGCATTGGTTGCAAGCGTCTGGATCTGCCCCTGGACTACCTGGGTGCCTGACACAGGCTGGGCTAAGCGGATATACTGCAGCTGGCCAGCATTCAACTGAACCTGGAGACAAGCGGAGGGGGCAGGGAAAGAAAATTAAACAGGGAACGGCGGAACCCGGAACGCACCAACCTGCCTTCTTCTTTCCGCCACAGAAGCCAGAGGAGCGGGACACCGGGAAGCTGCGGTGGGTTCCCGGCCGAGATGGCTACCACGGGCCCTGCCAAGGCAAGTCCGCGCAACTCCTGCTGGTTCTCGGAGCCCCGAGGAAGCCCCAGGGTTACTCCTTTCTCCAGAACGAGGGCTGGTCAATTAGCGGCTCAAGCAATTGTTAATCGCTCTCAGAGAGCTTCGAGAACACTTATTTCTCTTTTTGGCTACGAGGATCCGGTTACTACTTGGCTGCACCATTTCGCATAAAGAAAACGGTTATGAACTGTTTCCTGCCAAAAAATAGGAACGACACACGGGAAATTGTCACATAAAGAGGTGCCAAACCCCCGGGAATATATTTGGTAGCTTTTAATGCCGATACGTGTCAACCCCCACCTGGCAGAGGCTGACCCTTGCTGCGTGGACAACGTTAAAATGCAAATTTGCTCCCCGAGGGGAGGTGCCTGGGGGTGTGGGACGGGAAGACAACGTCGTCCTCGTGTCGTAACCTGCGACATAAACAGCCAAAACACATCTGGAAGCAACAGAGAGGTCACAGTGGGATCGATCCTACTGTTCACCTTGTATCTTGCGTTATTCGGCTTTAGAACGCTGAGATTTGCAGTCTGGAGTTATTATCTACAAAAAGCACTTTAGGTTTTCTTCCTTGTAGAAAGGGGAAAGCAGGACACACACGATCCCTGACAACCGCTCGCTGACAAAGGTTCAAGTGCCTAGAATGTGCTCTTGGCGTCTGTGCAACCGCCGCCGCCTTCGCCGCGTCTCGAAGCTCCAACGTTATTTCAAGAGCAAATAAACTCCACAGCGGCATAAACATTTCAGTAAAGAATCTGTTGCTGCACCGAGGATCATGTTTTCCACCCCGGGGGCTTCCTGCGTAGTTTTTAACTGCACAAACCGAATGGGTGGATGCGATGTAGAGAGCTTTCAGCCAGAAGTGAGGGTAGGCTCCAGGAAGAACCTGCTCAGTGAGGTCTGGCTAAGGCACAGGTTAACACTGAACTGATGTGGATAAACAAGTGATGACTGTTTCATCGCTGTCCACGCTTCCTCCTTCCAGCTTCTCTCCACTGATCAAAAATAAAAGCCGCCTTGGCGCAGGCAACCTGCAGGCCCAGAGCGAAAACGGCAAGGCGCAGCGGGGAAGGGGCATGGGAAGGAGCGTGGGAAACCAGCAGAGAGCATTAGTGGGATTCCCTCAACCTCCAGAGGCACCACCAGCTTGATAAGCGGTTCCAACCATCGGATTGCGGCGTGCGAGATTCCCTGCTGAGCCTGGACAGACACCAGCGCTAAGAGGAACTGTCAGAAGACAGCGGAAGCGGTATCCAGGTGGGAAGGAAACTCAAGGGAACGACAAGGAAAGCACGGCAGAGAGGGAGCAGAAGGGACAGCGGCACCCAGGCGCCCAAGGACTCATCCCGTGACACCAAAAGCGCTTCCGGGATTAGGGCACCAGCACATAGTGCCGCCTTCTGTCCTACTTGGCCCGCTGGAAGTGAGCGAGGGGAAAGGTGCTTCCTGCAGCACGAGCTGGGATTCTCCAACCCGCTGTGGTTGAGAGGAATCCTCCTAATTACAGCCGAAACAGTCCCTCTGCCAGGCACAGGGTGCGAATCGCGGCCGTTTCGGCGCGACACTGCTCCCAGCTGGCTCTGCTCTGCAGTCTCACAGCTGGCGGAGACCCCACGCTGGCACCTGGCTGCCCCCCTCTTCCGAGGGCCAGTGACAGCGACCTGTTCCCAGATGCTCCCAGGCAAGAGGGAGGTGGCAGCAGACACTAATTAAAGAGCCTCCAGTCTCCCACTCCTAAAACACGGGACCACTCGCAACGGGATCCACCCACGTGGAGAACAGTAGTTTCTGCACAAGGTCGGGGCCCCCTCACAGCGACTTTGTAAGGAATTCTCTTCTCCCAGCAGCTCTCCAAGCCCCTCTCTTGTAGGGAGTTCCAGCATCCACCGGAGCAAGTGGAAAACCAGTCTGAGCTGTTCTTTCATTGCTGAACCCAAGGAGGAGGCTGCAACTGTCGTAACGGATTCATGGAGGCTGGAGGTGGAGATCTCCTTCAAAACGCTTTGAAAAACAAGGATCTTGGAGAGATGTTTGTGAAGGAAGTAAGGAAGAAAACATAGAAGGAAGGTAGAGGAGAATGCAGAGGAGAAAAAGGGGTGATTGCAGTAAACCACCACATTTTGCAAGCGAATCACTTCTGTGCTGGCCAACCCCTTAAGCCAAGCAGCAGGGATCAGCCAAAGGGATGAAAAGACTTTGGAAGAGAACTGGAAAAACCTGGCAACAGCCACAATGGAAACCTTTAAGCCAGACGTGCAGAGGGAAGCTCAGCAGATCTTGCGTGGAAGATCCGAAGCCGCGGGCAGGCTCCTTCCTAACAGAAGCCTGAGGCGAAGGGGAACGCTGGTCTCGCTCGCTTGGCCTGACCTTTGCGGGGCTGGTTAAGTACACACAACCAGAGAGAGGTTTTTCTCCTGAAGAGGTGTGAAATTTTCCAGGTGGGGACTGAAAGACCCAGCTTTGTTGAGACTATAGGTTACAGCGTGTGCGTGGGGGGAAGGTGACGTTTTTTTGACCCCCTTGTTTACCCAGGACACCCGCCAGAAC